AGGAAATAAGCTAGTGGACTCTTGGAAAACTGACCCTCACCTTCCACCCTTTGGATTTTGTTATTCCAGGGCTCCTGAATGGCCTGACAGCTCAGGGTGGTATTTTCAAGTGGGTACATATCAAGATACTTAGCAGCTTGGAATGAATTCTGATGTAGCATGACACCTTTAACATTTAATTCCATGTGGGACATTAAGGGAGTTGGCATAATGCTAATTGCTCTTAATTCTTGCAATGCTTTTTTTTTTTTTCTTGAATTTTACCAACAGTGTTAGTAAAAGCCCCTCTGTTATATGTTTGGCTATGGTCAGTGGCTGGCTGCAGCTGTCTAGGCCCTCCACAGACAGTCCCTATATTTCTATGCTGGAAGAGTGGGGAGGATGAAGGGCTTGAGGTGTGGGAGAGCTGGCTCTGTGTACCAATCTGTTGCAACTCTCAGTGGACCTGCTTCTGTGGCTGCAAAAGGTGGCCATTGTATTTGCTTAAAACTTTAACCTTTTGTGATTTCCATGACCCTTAAGGCTTGCATTCTGCTTCACTAATATTAGGTAGCCATCCAGTGTGCAGAGATGGGCTACACAGGTGCATGGGGGAAAAAGCCCCCTTTTAGAACTTAAGAAAATCTGACACAAAATGTTGCTGTGTCTGCACATAAAAAGGAAGATGGTAAGAACAATGCCTCTCAAATTTTACAGTGTATATGCATCACCTTAGGAGCTCTGGTAGCATAGTGCCTAAGGCACTTGAGTGCTAACCAGAAGGCTGGCGGTTCAAACCCACCAGCCACTCCTCAGAAGGAAGATTGGGCAATCTACTTCCATAGTGATACTGCCTCGGCAACCCAAGGAGGGGTCGCTATGAGTTGGGTCCGACTCGATGCCAAACAACAACAACATGCATCCTCTTGGATCTTATTAAAATAGAGATACTGATTGCATAGGGCTGAGTTAGGATCTGAGATTCTGCATTCCTAACCAGCTCCCAGGCGATGCCATTGCTGCTGGTTGGGAACCACACTTTGAACAGCAAGGCTCAGAGCAACTGTCCTGCATCTGGGATGTTAACAACTGCAGTTCAAGTCAGATAATCCCCGGCAAGCCCGAGTGAGTGGCATCCTGGCCTTCTGTGAGTTCTGGCTCCTGCCTGCATTTTTCTCTTCTAATCTCACATTCCCCCTTATTCACATCACTCCATCTCACCAGCATTTTTCTTTTTAAAATTAATTTTATTGTGGTAAAATATCTGTAATGTCGTGCGATTTGGTTACATTAATTACTTTCACCATGTTGTGCTACCATCACTACTGTCTATTTCCCAAAGTTTTACCTCATCCCAAAGAGAAACTCACACTTGCATTTTTTGTTCCTCTAGCACTTCAAGCTCTTGCCCACCCCAGTGCCTCTGCATATGCTGTTCCCTGTGCCTTGAATGCTCCTACCCCTACTTTTCCCTTGGGCACTTGGTCCTCATCCTCTAGTAAGTATATAACATTATGTTCCTTTCTCATGGTACCCTACTTTTTGTGTTTGTAGCAGTTATCTGCATGTGCCATCTCTTTTTCTGTTTCCTTATTTATAATCTGTTTTCTCTAGACCAGTGTTCCATAAAGAGAGACCACACCTCTTTCACACACTGTTGTATCCTCAGTGCTCCTGCCTGATGCTCAGTAAGTAAATATTTATTGGATATGTGTGCAGATACGTAGGGAACAAAGGAACCTGTAGTCCCCTTTTGCATATTTGAGTTATTTGTCCAGAGGAGCTGTGATGAGGATGAGAGTTAGAATTGGTTATTATTGAAGAAGCGCAGAATGAGAGGTCAGGAAATGAACTACTTTTAATTTTAAGCCACATCTTACTTTCAAAGATAGTGAAAGGTTAAAAAAAAATGTGCATCTTAGAACAGATGTAATGTAGTAAGTCTAACATTTCTTAAACAGAGTTTAGGTCACATTAGTTTGTGGAATACTGGATTAAACTAAGGTATTTGTAGAACGTCTCAGAATGTTTGGTAATGTGCATTGTGAGTCTTTACAGGAAGTGACACACAGTGTTCTTTTTAATGGTTTTCTTCAGGTCTCTCTCTTTTTTAATTGTGGTAAAAAGTATATATAACAAAACATTTGCCATTTCAACAATTTTTACATGTATAATTCAGTGACATTGATTATATTCATCATGTTGTGTGACAATAATATTATCACTATCTTTTTCTAAATCATTCTATGACCACAACAAAATGTGTTCTTTTATTCACATGGTTGAGGCATAGACATTATGATTCACCTACCTAGTAGCCATTTTCTTTTTTTTTCTGTCCTGTCTCTCCTCCTTCTTGCCACCAGGGCACTTGCTTCCCATTATCAAGACTGAAAAATGCCAAGTTTTCAATTTCCTAGCCTTCTTTGCATCAAAGACATGGGCATATTCCCTGGTTCTGGCCAGTGGGATCTGAGGGGAAGTCTGCTGAGAACTTCTGGGACAGTTTTTCTGATGGAAAGACACACACAAAGGGAAATTCCTTCCCTGGGTTTTGATGTGGCTGTGTGAGGACATGATACCTGGAGCCACAGCAGCCTCTTGCAAACATGAAGGGATACACCCAAGGAGAAAGCCAACATGCTAAGGATGGCGGGGTGAAAAGGTGCAATGAACCAGGGCTCTCAATGGCATCACCAAGTCCTAGACCGTGGACTTTCAGTTATGTAAGACAATATGTGTCCTCATTGCTTAAGTCACTTTGATTGGGGTGTACTTTACTTGCAGCTGAAAACATCCTGACTTTCATCCTGACAAAGAGTGGATAAGCTGGTCTCTCCAGTCAGACAGGCTGGAGTGGACTCTCAGCTCCACCAAAGGTAAATATGTGTCCTCTTCAAAGCTTTCTCCTCACTATGAAATGGGGCTAAGAATAATGGCTATCTGTTGGGTTATTATCAAGGCTTTAATGAGATGATGGGTGTCAAGTCCTTAGCAAAGAATTTGGCGCAAAGTTGGTGCTCACAAATGAAGAATTATTCTGATTATTTGATCACAAATTTTTCTTTTGGTTGACACATCACTAATATAATGTGGGACAGTGTATTCTGGAGGGTACAATCTGGGTGACGCTTAACCTCTTTACACTTTCCCATTTTGCAGAAGGAGAAATTGAGGCCAAGGGAGAGGCTGACCTCTGGGCTCTTTTTACTTTGAAAAATGGGCATGGTTCAGCCTTTTCCCACTTCACTCATTTCCACTCATTCTAGAAAACAACAAAAGGACACAAGCCTGGGTTGAAATTATGTGCTTTTATGGGAAACAAAAATATCCAACGACAACAAAAGCCCTTCAACCTTGCCAAGTTCTCAACTGGTGATAATGAGGCCGTTTCAATGATTGTGTCTGGCTGGGGACATTTCTAAAGGGTCAGGAAAGTTGAAAGACATTGGCCAAAAAGAGAAGTTGCAGGGAGTTGACATTTTAAGTGCAAGTATATGAGACCTTCCTTCCAGCCCCTCATCCCATCACCCTTGTAACTTTCAGTCTCTTCCCAGTTTATAGAAGATTCTTCTTGAATTTGCTCAACCACAATCTCTTCTGGAAAGCTCTTCCTGATCTGCAACAGCTGCATAGGCCTTTTCAGCAATGCCACTTTCTCATGCCCTCTCCTATCACTTTCTGCTTACAGCCATTGGGTTTAGGTACATGTTTCACATTATGTTGATTCACTCAGTGTTTGTACCCCCTTTCCCATTCAGTGCTCAATAGACAGCAAGTGCTCAGGATCAGCAAGTGCTCAGTGAAGTATGGTGAATTGAACTCAGTTCTACATCTGCTGTGTCGCATGACCAACCTCTTGAGAATCATTACTCTTTGCCACTTCCACTTCTTCATTCCTACCTCCATGACTTCAAAATGCTCCAAATCAAGGTGACTCCATGGAGGAAGAGCCCCCACCAAACATCACCAACTCAGGAGGTTTGGAGAGGGGAGAAGTTTAAGCTTTTCACTCCTGTTCCAGAAGGCAAGGGGCCAGGAAAGGCAGCCAACAGGGAAATCCAGGATGGTCACAAAGTGTTGACCAACCCTTCATTTTGGAATCTCAAGCAGCTGCTCTTCCAAAAATTTCCCCTATAAAACATGGCCATCTTTGCAGAGCAGGCTGAGGGCTGGCAGGGGACCAGTGCAGTTGCCCTGTCAGCCCAGGGACCAGCAGGCATAGACCTAGAGCCTTTCTTCAGGATGTGACCTATTCCCCTCTAGAAGGGTGGTTAGAAGTTGTCCACCTAGTTGTTCGGTTGGAGCAATAGTGGGAATGTTAGCCCTGTGGTGTGTTGAGTTGTCAGGCACATAGATTGTAGTAAGGCTGAAGAATACAGGCTGCAGGAATGGGCCTCTCCTCAAAGGGGGAAGGATTGGGGGTGCTGGGGGAAGTGAGGGAAAGAGGAGGGTCCAGGTGGTTCTGCAGCTCCAATTCCAACAGGTGCCCTGTTCTATCTCCCACCCCAATTCCCTCCCCTTCTGTTCTTTTCTCCAAGTTAGGGCCAGGCAAACAGGTCAGGCTATGGAGCCATGCAGAAGTGGTGGAGGAAATGCAAGTGCCTTTTCTCTTTTCTTACCATGAGTCCTAGATTTGGACAAAGGAGAGGTAAGGATAAAGGACAGAAAGAGGAGAGTTAAAGAGCTGAGGAGAGGCCAGGGCCCTATTCACTTCTGTTTACTGGTGTCACCAGTAGATTTGAGGCTCACACTTGTAACGCTGTAACTGCATCATCCCCAGAGAGCACCGAACTCCTAAGTGGGGTTGATGAAAAAATTCTTCATGGTTCTCAAAGGTGCTCTGTGATTTTGGGAGATCCCTGTGGATCCTCTATGCGGTGGGGGGCCCCTCTGGGGCCAATAAGGTGTGAAAACTGCATGGTCAGCATGAGCCCTGGAAACCTGGGAAAAGGGCCAAAAAACAGAGAGAAGAGAGACTTCTTCAGGCACCTCCTTTAGGAAAGAGAGTTGGGTCTTGTGGGACTTGAGTTAGGATAGATGTTTCAGTATAAAAAGGATCCCCAGCAAAAGATGGGAGTCCCCCTCAAATCCCTTCCCAAATCCTACAGCACTTAGAAAAGAGAAAGTAAGAGCATAAAAATATTTTGATGACGTGGGCTTGCCTGGCAGTACAGACAAGCAAGTCTCATGGCAGGCAGTGTGTCCCGTTACACAACAGAGGATTATACCGAGCTTCAGTATAGAGATTTTACATATATCTTTATATAAATGCATATATATATTTATAGAGCCTCCGCCTAGAACAGCCGGGCTTGCTTCTTCAGTTCATTCCTCTTCCAGAGGGCCAGCCGGTCAAATTCAGAGATGGTCATGCCAAACACTTGGTAGAACTCTTCCTGGGACAGGTGGCGCTGAAAGGAGGTGGAAGGGGACAAAGGAAGAAGAGCATGAGGATGGGAGGTGGAGGCTGGGGGGTGGTGGAGGCAGGAACAGTTACTCTGTGCTCCCACTGGGCCCCCTGGGCCTGGGGAAGTCCTGTAATAAGTATTTGCATAATGAATGATTGAGTGAATGAGTGTCTTCCTGGAGTGGCCTTTGTAGCTGGTCTGTCTGAAGGGCCTCACTCTCTGGCTGCCTGTTTCTGGGCCTCCCCTGCCCTGGACTCCAGTAGGACTCACGCTTCACCTAAGCTTCTGACTCACCTCACCTTTTTGCATCCCTGCTTCTTGCATTTTGAGTCCAAAAGCGAGTATGGATGAATGGTATCCCATTCCGCTTTGGAAGGGAAGGGAGGCATTTTCAAGATTTTAGGGTACGTTTCCTCTTATTAATATTTTTATAAATGGACCGGAAGGCTGTTTCTCAGGCCAGGTCATGAAAAAAATGACTGTTCATAGTTCTCCATCCACTGAAATGTCCTTTCATTTCTTCCTTATTTGAAAACAGGACACATAAGATCAAGCATTATTCAATGTTGATGAATAATGTTCTGCATTCCATGACAGCTTTCTTCTCTCTTTATTCCCTCTCTCCCTCCTTTTCTCCTTTTCAAGTAGCCTGGAAAGTGCGATACATTGTCAAAGCTTTTAGAGTTAGAAACATATAGCATTTAAAACCAAAAAAACCCTAAAATAAACAAACAAACAAAAAACCCAAAACTCACAGCCATCAAGTTGATTCTGACTCATCACCACCCTCTTTGGGTTTCCGAGGCAGTAAATCTTTCTGGAAGTAGATTGCCCAGTCTTCCTTCTGCAGAGTGGCTGCTTGGTTTGAACCACCAACCTTCTGGTGAGCAGTCAAATGCCTTAGGCATTATGCCACCAGAGCTCCTTAAGACATAGCAAAGTGGTAAGAACTGGTCCATTTAGGTGAAGGTAGATGGCTGTTCATTGTACTATTCTTGCAACTTTTCTGGAGGTTTGGAATTTTTCAAAATAAGAAGCTAAAATTAAGTTTTAAAAGAGAAATATATGTGGCTTATATCCTGCCTGCAAACTTACTAGGTTCACTGTACTGACCTGTTGGTAGCAATTATATTAGAGAACTGAAAGGAGATGCAGTGAAGATTATGTATACAGCCCCATAATAATTAGCCAGTTCTCTGCCTATTGTCATTGTGAACTAACATTCTGGCCATATTTCCACAACCTTAAGCAAAGGTGACTTTGAGTCAAGTTTTTCAATACTTAAAACCATTTGCTGTTGAGTCAACTTTGACAGAGTAGAACTGTGTTGCATGGGTTTTCAGTGGTGATGTTTAGGAAGTAGATCCCCAGGGCTTTCTTCCCAGGTGCCTCTGGGTGGACTTCAACCTCCAACCTTCCAGGCAGCAGAAGAACACGTTCACTGTTTGCACCACCCAGAGACTCCTTTCAGGAACTCTGGTGACACAGTGCCTAAGGCACTGACTGCTAACCAGAAGGCTGGAGGTTCAAACCCACCAGCCTCTCCTTGGAAGGATGGTTGGGCAATCTACTTCTGTAGAGACACCACCTCGGAAACCTAAGGAGGGGTCGCTATGAGTAGGGACTGATTCGATGGCAGTGAGTTTCATTTTTTGGTTTAGAGACTCCTTTCAGTACCTGCTGGTACTGAATAACACCCACCAATCCTTGCTGCATTTCTATTGGGGTCATTAGTTTATAACTGCACTTCCATTCTCTTTTTTCTCAGTTAATCGTTTCTGTTGGTGGTGCAGTGGTTAAGGCATTCAGCTGTTAACGAAAAGGTTGCTGGTTCAAACCCACTAGCCGCTCCATGGGAGAAAGATGAGACAATCTGCTTCTGTAAAGATTTACAGCCTTGGAAACCCAATGAGACAGTTCTACTCTGTCCTATAGGGTTGCTATGGCAGTGGGTTTGGTATGATTTTTACTACTCTGAAAACCAGGAATTATTTTGACCCAATTTCAAGAAGAGAAAACCAAAACTCAGAATTAAAATGACATTTGTCCAAGAGGGAGAAAGGGAAGGAGGAGAGAAAGAGGACAGGTAAGTAGCAGAGCTGACAGCAAAGCTTGACTTCAAATACAGAATGTTCTCTCTGCCCTTGTGGCCTGGCCCATTAAAAAAAAATTCATAACCAAGTCTTTCTATTGTGGAAAATTTCAAAAACACATAAAGCTAGAACATATAGTATAATGCACAATCATGTCCATTATCCAGATTCAAAAATTTTAAAGAGTTTGCCTTGATAATTTTGCCAAGATTTTCTGAGTTTGCCAAGATTTGCTCTATCTATCTACTTCCTCTCTTGTTTTCTTTGCTGAAGTATTTTAAAACAAACCTTAGACACTGTGTCATAGAAGCTCTGGTGGAACTATAATTAAGCCCTTGGCACTTAACCAAGAGGTTGGCAGTTCAAGTCCACCTAGTGGCTTTGTGAGATAAAGACCTGGAGATCTGCTCCTGTAAAGATTACATGCAAACCCTACAGGGTGTTCTACTCTTGTCACATGGGGTTGCTGTGAGTTGAAACAGACTCAATCACACTTAACAACAACAACAAACACTGCCAATGCATCCAAATGCATTTAAAAAATACTGGCTATTTTCTCTTATAATTTCATGAACACGGCTAAGAAAAATGAATAATAATTCCTCTGAATCACTTAATTTAATACCTGCCATGTTGTCAGAAGGGACCATTCCCTGGAGAAGGATATCGTGCTTGGTATGGCGGAAAGTCAACAAAAAAGGGGAAAGCTCTCAATGAGATGGATTGACACAGTGGCTGCAATGATGGGGCTCAGGTTTAGCAAGGCTGGCACAGGACCAGGTTGTGTTTCATTCCGTTGTACATGGGGTCGCTATGAGTCAGAGCTGACTCCACCATATGTAACAACAACAACTACAACAAAATTCCCCTGGTTATCTTAAAAATGCCTTTTTTTTTTTTTTTTTACTGTTTGTTTGTTTGAATAAGGATCAAAGAGCATCCACACATCACACTTGGTTGTTAGACCCTCTAAGTTTCTACCAGTGGAGACAGTGCCTCTGCTCTTTAAACTATCAACTTGTCTGTATTTGTTTTACTTTCACTCATGAGAGTGCTGAAATAACACTTTGGACATGAGGGAGTTCTCCTCTCTTCTTTCCATAGTAAAGACTGAAAGGAACTATAGTGGAGTCTCATTTGGTCTTTTTTTTAGGGGAATGGGGGTTGCTGCTGGTCATTAGTATTGATTCTCTAGCTGGTTTTCTCTAATGTGCTCTATGAACCTGGGTATAAGGGAGTGGCAGACAAAGCCTAAGGAGCCCTGCAGACAAAATGGTTAAGTACTCAGCCGCTAATCAAAAGGTTGGTGGCTGGAACCCACCCAGTGGCTAGGTGGGGAAAAGACTTGACAATCTGCTCCCATAAAGATTACAGACTAGAAAACCAGATGGGGTAGTTCCACTTTGTCATATATGGTGGTATGAGTCATAATGGACTCAACAGAAAACAACAATAGATTCAGCCTAAGGAGGCCTTATGGTACAGTGGTTAAGTGCTTGGTTGCTAACTGAGTGGTGAGCGGTTCAACCCTATCAGTTGCTCTGCAGAAAAAAGACCTGGTGATGTGCTCCTGTAAAGATTACAGCCAATACCATTGTCATCCACTTGGAAGGGATATAGGAGATCCTGGATAGAGAGGGAGAGCAATGTGGAACAAAACTCTTTATTTGGAGGGGGAAAAAAAAAAAAGATAGTGGGGACCAGGTTTGCTGGTCCAATAGAGCCTGATGGAACCACTGAGACTATGGCCCCTAGCTGCCCTTCAGGTCTGGAATTGAACCCACACCTGTGGTTTCCAGCCAAACAAAGTACAGGCATGTGAGTTAAACATTTACCTCAAGTAGACACATGCCCTGGAGAGAACAATCATGGGAGAAGGAAGGGCTGCTTATGCACAGCTCAGGGGGCAGGAGAGTATGGAGGGATGGCCACTGGGAGGAAGTGGGAGGGGAGCTGTTGCATTCTGGTAAACTATGGTCAATGACATGAGACAAAGTATATGTGAACTGCTGTATGGAAAGCAAATTTGCTCTGTAAATCTTCACCCAGATCACACACACACACACACATACACACACACACAAAGATTACAACCAATGGGGGCAGTTCTGCTCTGTCCTATAGGGTCACCACGAGTCAGAATTGATTCAACAGTTCCTTTGAAACAACAAAGACTTCAGGTCTCAAGTAAGCTGTGTACAATAGGACATGCTGAAAGGAGACTAAGATTTCTCCTCTCCCTCCTTTATGGGTTGGCTCAAACCTCTTTTCTCCTCCAACTTCTTAGACACCTAACACCCCTAACCATTTTACATTCACACAGATGTTACAAAGATTTAAACCTCAAGAAGACCTAGGTCTTGATCTGGGCCAAGTTATTTAATCTCTCAGAGCCTCAATTTCTTATTCCAGAAAATTGGAGCCTCATAGATACTATGAAGGTGAATGAGATGACACGGGCCAGGTGCTCAACCCAGCGGCTGGCATGTAGTGAGCATTCAGTCATGGGTCACCATCACATAATTCGCTCATCACATCACCCCTCTATTCAGGACCTGCAATGGTTCCTCATTGCACTCAAGCCAAAGCCGGAGTCACTGCAGCAGCCTGTGGCCCTGTGTGAACTTCCTCTGATCTCTCTTCCTCCACTCTCCCCTGCACTCATTTGACCTAGTCACACTGCCCCCTGCTATCCTCAAACACACCAGACTCACTCCTATTGGGGTTGGGCATCCAGCTTGTCCCTCTGCCTCAAATACTCTTCCTTGAATATATAAGAAAACCAGCTAAGTTGCCACTGAGCTGATTCTGACTCATGGATACCCCATGTGTGTCAGAATAAGAACTGAGATTCATAGGGGTTTTAATAGCTGATTTTTTGGAAGTCGATTGCCAGGCCTTTCTTCTGAGGTGCCTTTGGGTGAACCTGAATCTCCAACCTTTAGTTTAGCAGCCAAATATGTTAACTGTTTGAACTGCCCAGGGACTCCTTCTCTCTATATAAGCACAGCTAACTCCCTTACCTCCTTCATGCCTTTGCTGGAATGTCATGTTTGAAATGAAATCTACTCTGACCACCCTATTTAAAATGACAAATCATCCCTCCACCTAACTCCCATTCCGCCTCATCCTGTTCTACTTTTCCTCAGCACTTATTGGCATCTAACATAAATATCATTTATCATTATTTGTATTGTTTAGTGCCTGTCTCTTCATGAAAGAATGCCAGCTGCAAGAGGGCAACGCAATGTAATGCAATGCACTGCCGTTGAGTTGGATCTGACTCATAGTGACCCCTCCTTGGGTTTCCGAGGTGGTATCACTATGGAAGTAGATTGCCCAGCCCTTTTCACTGCTTTATCATAAGCACCTACAACAGTAACAACAGTACCTGATATATATATATATAATTGGGAGCTCTGGTAGCATAGTGGCTAAGACATTTGCCTGCTAACCAGACGGCTGGCGGTTCAAACCCACCAGCCACTCCTCAGAAGGAAGGTTGGGCAATCCTACTTCCGTAGTGATACTGCCTCGGAAACCCAAGGAGGGGTCGGTATGAGTTGGGGCCGACTCGACAGCACATAACAACAACAAATATATAATTGGTTTTCAATAAATACTTGCTGGATGAATGAATGTCTGTACTCTGAGCTTTGCGAGGACAGATTCAGGGTTTCCCTTCCTCAGTCCCCTCCCTGAACTGGTTCAGGGAGCTAGTACAGTGCCTCTAGCACAGTGGTCTCAGCTCTGGCCACACATTAGGATTGCCTGTTACTGTTGCTGTTAGAGGGAGCTCTGATGGCATAGTGGTTAAAGCATTTGTCTGTTAACCAAAAGGCCAGTGATTTGATCCCACCAGCTGTTCTCTGGAAGAAAGATGAGGCAGACTGCTTCTGTAAAGATTTACAGTCTTGGAAACCTAATGGGGGTTGCTATGAGTTGGGACTGACTTTATGGCAGTGAGTTTGGTTGGTTTTTGGTTGTTGTTAGGTACCATCAAGTCAGTTTTGCCTTATAACGACCCCATATACAACAGAACAAAACACTGCCTGGTCCTGTGCTATCTTCACAGTATTTGCTGTGCTTGAGCCCATTGTTGCAGTCACTGTGTCAATCCATTCCATTGAGAGTTTTCCTCTTTTGCACTGATCATCTGCTTTACCAAGCATGATATCCTTCTTCAGGACTGGTCCATCCTGATAACATATGTAAAGTATGAGAGGCAAAGGCTCACCATCCTTGCTTCTAAGGAGCATTCTGGCTATATTTCCTCTAAGATAGCTTTAAAAAAATTCACAGGCCTGGGCTGCTCCCCCAGATTGTGATTTACTTGGCCTGGGGTGAGGCCCTGTATTGGTATTTTTTAAAAGCTCCCTGGGTGACCCTGATGCTCAGGGAAGGTTGAGCTTCCTTGGCCTGAGCTTCTGGGTGCCCTATAGGATGAAGGAGAACGGGGAGGGCCAATCAAGTTGCCAAATATTTCCATCTCAATGATGGTTGCATGCCAGCTGTGGGAGCTGTCCCTTCAGCACCACAGACACTGCTACACAGTGAAAGAAGGCTCTTGCTACAAATATGGGAAGAATCATTCACTTTCTTGGGCTTCTAACCAGGATGCTAAGTCTGGATGGACTCACAGAGCTTCCTGGCCCCTCATATTCTGTACCAATGCTCTAAACCAGTTGCTGTTGGGTTGATCTGACTCTTGACAGCCCCATGGTGTCAGAATAGAACTGCTCCACAGGGTTTTTAATGGCTGGTTTTTTAGAAGTAGATCACCAGGTCTTCCTTCTGAGGTGCCTGTGGGTGGACTGACTCAAACGTCCAACCTTCCAGTTTGGCAGCCAAGGATGTTAGCTGTTGCACCACTTTGGAACTCCTAGTTGCCAACCTTCGACCCTCAGTAGTCATGTCAAAGGAGGTTCCTATGCCCTTCCCAAGTGGCTCTGAGCCTTTCCATTAAGTGGCCTGCATTCAGTGTCACAGATACCTTCTGATACCTCTTTTAGTCCAGACTCTGTGGTAGACGACAGACATCTTTGCCTCTAGGAAGCTTAGGGTCTGGGGGAGGAAATGGATAAGTTTCCTGGCACAAAGAGGGTAAGAGGTGCTTGATCTGCATTCTGGACACAGGGCTATGGAAGCTAGAGGAAGAGGGGAGAGGCTCATCATAGAGAAGAGCTGGGGGAGGCTTTTAGCCATAGGGATCACTTGATTGGATCTCTGAGGGGTAGGAGGCTGATGAGACAAGAAGGATGTTCTAGGGAGAGGGGGAGGCACTATGGTATAAAGGGCAGAGTGTGTTCATGGGTCAGAGGTGACTAGGTCCTGGGGCTCTCCACCAAGTGGACTGAGCTGCTTAAATGCCCTACTGCCATATCCAGGCTTGCTCCTGGTCCTTCATGCTGTTCCCACTGCCCTCTGTCTATCCATCCAACCCTGCCACCTTCAAGGTCTAGCAAACCCTTCCTCTTCCAAAAGCCTATGCCAACTAGTCTAGACCTTTGTGGTCCTTTCTGAATAATAACAGTCTAACATTTATTCAGTATTTATCATGTGTCAGTTAGTGAAAAGGGCTATAGGTGGACAGTATCATTTCATTCTCCTGGCAACCCTATGAGGGAGACAGTACAATTGGCCCCTCTTTACAGGGGCAAAAACCAAGGGAGGTGGTAACTTGACCAAAACTGACTGCCTAGTGATGGCAGAAGCAGAGTTTGAACCTAGTGAGTCTGATTTGAGATTTAGGCTTTTAGCTTGTGCACACTGCTGCCTCCCCCAGCCTGTCTTATATTACAAACACTAGTCATCTGTATAATACTGGATAAAACCAGTGCATGTCTTCTTCTCAACCAGACTGCAAGCCCCTTGAGGGTACAAGCCAATCTAATTCTCCTCCTATGGCTTCAGAAGCATCAGCCCAGGTGGGGATGCCTATCATTGTGTACTACAGATGCTAATTGAATGGAAAAGAAGGCAGCATAGAATAGCATGAACAGCCTTGGGCAGAGGAAAAACTTAGGCCCACATCTTGGCTTTCTCAACAAGCTGTGTGACCTTAAAGCTGCTTATACCCTCATCTTATCCCTGAAGCAGGTTAGATCAGGGAACCTCTGGAATCCCTCCAAACTCCAAACTTCCTACTTGGTTTTCTACACTCACCTCCAAACGAGTCCGGTCCACATCCTTGGGCAGTCGGTTTCTTCCTCTTGTGGTCACCAGTAGCAGTTCATAAGGGTAGATCTAAGGAGGAAAGGGGGTTGGTGTTTCCAGCTTGAGGGAGTGTGTGGGCCTGTCCCTTTCAGCCAGATTTTGTACATGGCCCCCTCCTCCATCCAGAGGAGGCCAGAGATTCAAGTCTGGAGGACTGGATCTGTTATCCGTGGGATTGCCAAACAGCCCTGAGGCACCTTCTTCTAAAACATAAAGCCCAAGCATTTCTCTAATACTGCTAAGCTTAGCAATGTTTGGCAGTAATGTGGGCACAAGGTCTCCAGAATGTAAATGTCAATATTTGGTAATTGATAAGCCCCTAGAGAGACCTTAGGTCCAGGGGACCTGTTTGATTTCAGGAGCCAAGAATTCGGGGCCAAGGAGGCATGTTAGTCTTGAAAAGACCTTTGGGGTTATTTATACATGTCCTCTTCTCTGCATAGACATTGATGATACCCGTCTGCTGGTCCCCAATGTAGCTGCTACCAGGGTCCCAGTGACCCCCAGGGTCTAATACAGCCTTTACCTTGTACTCTGTGGAGAGAAAAGAGACACACACAATGGAAACCCATCAGAGTTTGCTTTGCATCCCTCCACTGGCTTCTGTGTCCACCTCTCCTCTTACATGACCAGCCAGAGCCCCTGTCCTTGCTGAATTCACCATGGAGGATAATCAAGGCTGGTATGAGCACAACAGATGGCTGGAGTTAGGGGTTGGGCTGATCTAGAGATACAGTTCTTAGAAAAAAGTGTCTGTTTAGATATTTAGAGTAGAACTGGGAAGAATTTGTGACAGTGAAGACCATGGGTGAGACCTTCCTTTCATCTCCTGGCAGAATCTACCTGGGGCTTTGGTGTGGGTCTTTCTCCTGCCTGCTTGTAGGAACTGGTGGTGACAGGCATGGGGGCATCATGGACAGAGAGTAGGAAGTTCATGGAATCTTTACTGGAAGTAGTGTGCATCTAGTGTGTCTCTCTCTTTTAGAGCTGGCAGACATCTCTAGTTGAATGGTATGAGGGAGAACAGCATGCTGATGGCTCTGGGACCCAGATGGGACAGATGGCCTGGGGATCAATTACTCAAGGCAATTTGATTTGAGAGGATGAGGGAAGCAGGGGGGAAGGTATGGAATAGGATGTGAAAGAGAGTGGGAACTTAGGATTTGGAAGGAAGCTGCAGCCTTCCCTGAAAGGAAGGTGAGCAAGTGATAGGTGGGGAATCTCGAAGTCCCTCTGACATCCAGGAGGCCCCTCCTGGCAGACACGTAGGGCCACACTCACCTCGCATGCCCCAGTTGACTGCGTTCATGCTGTCATAGTGGAATAGGTCTGCGCTGGGTGTCTGCAGGGAGACAGAAGCCAGATGGCATGAGATAAGCTCACCTGTGCCCCCTGATATTCTCACCATCTCTAGAAAGCAGAGTTGGGCAGGTGGGACCTGGGGCATCTCAGAAGCCTCAGTCTCATGTTGAGGTGATCTAACTCACCACCATATCCCTAGCATCTAGCAGAGTCCCTGGCCCATAGAGCCTCAGTAAGGAGTCATTTTTCCTTTTATTGCTCAAATGCTTCTTTTTCTATAAGATCCACTCAGCCCACTCTATTTAAAAGTGTAATTCTCCCATTCCCTGCAGTCCCAATCTCTCAATTACTTTTTTCTATGGCACTTACTACATTTTAGCATTTTATAAAATTTGACTTATTTCTGTTACTCCCTACCAGAATATAAGCTCCATGGTGCAGGGTCTTTGTCTGTTTTGGTCCCTGATGCATGTTAAGCACCAGAATACTACCTGGGTAATGTAATAAGCTTTCAGTGAACACCTGTTGAGTGGGTGAATATCTAGACTCTGAGCATGGTAAGCATGGGTTCTGTGTGCTCCTCATCAGCTGGTAGATTTTCAGCACCAGCCACTGCTGATCCCTTTTTTGTGCTTCACCCTAAATTAGTCTCCCAACAGGGCTCCAGTTTCCACTCCTGTCCCTCTGCAGTCTCTTCACCACATAACAGCTGAAGAGATCCATGAAAACCCAAGTCAGTCTGCAGCCATGGAGGCTGGATGAATCCCAAAAACTACTGCCCGGAGATAATACTTAAACTATAAGTAATAATTACTTCTGAAGTCTTCTTGAAACCAAACAGTAGTTTAGCTTAACTAATAAAGAGCGTCTTCCTTGAACACTGTGGTCTCTTAAAGAACTATCTGTATGGGATCAAACTGACAGCAGTAACTCAAAAGGTTAGATAGGAAGCTTGAGGGACAGTGAGTTTATGTCAATGGGGAGGAACAATTTGGAAAAGGAAGGTCAGAATGGTTGCACAACTTGAAAAATATAATCAATGTCAAATCAGTGTCACCGAGTCATACATGTAGAAATTGTTGAATTGGTGTATGTTTTGCTGTGTATATTTTTAACAAAAACAAAAAACAAAAAACCTCTAGGTGGAACACATGGTACCTGCTGAGAACTCTCTGAAGTCCTAACCCAGTGTGCATGGCCCTAATGACAACCCTCTCAAGATTCATCTGGCTCATTGTGCCTTCTTGGTCAGCGTCTTTGACACAGTGCTTCTGTCCATCTGGGTGGCTCTTGCAGATCTTCTCGTGGTGAGGTCCCTCCCTTCACTCAGACCTTTGTTTAGATTTAGCCCTCTCTGACTGTTTCTTCCTCTTCCTTTTGCTTTGTTTTCCATCCTAGCACTTGTGAGGACCTGACATCATATTGCACACCCATTTGCTCATTGTCCGTCTCCCCAAATAGTATGTAAGCTCCCTGGGAGCAATGACTTCAGTCACTGAAGTCCCCTCAGCACTGGGAACAGTGCCCAGCACTTAATATGTGCTCAGTAATAAGCATCTATCTCAAAGTGCCTGCCCTTCTGTCAGATCGCTTGTCCAGTCACCCAGCCTCTTTTCTTGCTAACAAATTCATAATTCCTTGTCAGCCCTTAAAACAACTTCCTGTTCCCATTCAGGCATTCCATCACAGATGGTCAAAGAGCCCAGAGGACAACAGTGATATCAGAGGAGAGTGGGGCATGGCAGCAAGTGTGGGCTGTGCAATCAGTTGGCCTGGATTTGAGCTGACTCTTCCACTTACTGGGTATGAGAGGTTGGGCAGGTCACCTTATCACTCTGTGCCTCTATTTCTTTATCCACAAAATAGAGTTGATAATAGTAACCACCTCCCAGGGTTGTGAAGGCTAAATGAGTTCATACATGTAAAGTTCATACATATAAAACTCATACATGTAAATTACTGGCACATAGTAATTGCTCGGTTAAGTATTAATTATTCTCCAGCCTCTCTCTTGGGGGCACTTTTCACACAGAAGATAAGGAGAGTACAGTAGTCAGTGCCACTGCATTCTTTCAGTTAACCCACTAGGGTTTCACCCATAAATAATCACCAGAACAACGAGCTAATGCAGGATTGTTAGCACCTTGGGGCAGTGTTCCCCAGTGCAGTTCTCTTACCCTGTGCAGCCCATTTCTTCTGTAGGCAGGCAGGGAGGCTGATTTGGAGATGAGAGGATCTGAAAAGAAGGAGCCAGAGAAATCACCAGAAGCCCTATGCCAATGGTCCCTCAGTCTGAAGTCATCTGGTTGCAAATGACCATTATATTTTCCAACCCAATGTTGCCAGAGACCACCAGAAATTCCTGTCTGTTCTTCAGACTTGTGATGTGACTGTGTATAGGGCACTTCACTACCCTGAGGCACCCATTCACTTTGTTCTGGTTTCAACCTGCATTTAGCCTCCTATGATGGACCTCTGTGCACTGGACTCTAGACAAAGGTCCTGGATTGGAGATGAGTTAGTGGCTCAAGTTCAGAACCCAGGCAGGGAGGTTCCTACATCAGTGGAGAGGCTTGCTATCTCTCTCTCACTTTTCTTTCTCCTAGAGATACTGGGCCGGGTAACCATGGATCCAGAACCAAAAATCAGGGTCCACAATCTAACAAAAACAATAGGATGGACTGTTTGACGTGCTGGGACATCCATGTTGTTTGACTATCACAACTATAGAGGAACTATGGGGTACTCAGCTCTGGCCCTCATATAACACAGTGGGGCTGAAGGTAGGGTAGGACATACCGCTGTCAGCGAGGTAGTGGGACCGAGGGGCTGCAACAGAGAAAAACCAGAGATCAGCAGTGTTCATGGGGACAGACAGACATGGTACAGGATGGACAGCAAATTGCATCCATGTTGCATGGATGCCATTGAATAGGGTTGAATTCTCTCGTCTATAATATGGGTGACAATAATCTCTCTACATTCTGGATCATTGTGAGGACCAAGGGTGACAGCATACAAATGTCCAGTACATGTAAGTATAAGAAATAGTTTCTTCTACTATCCATAATTGTCTTCCTTGATCAAACAGACCATGGTCTTCTCAGAAGGCCTTCCTGTGTTTGCTCTCTTGGCATCTTGCCACCTCCATTGCTTAAGAATTTTCAAGTGGTCAAATAAGAAAGTCACCTGACTTCTTAGTACAGTCACCTCCATTCCACTGCAAGAGCAGACAGGGCCGGGCATCAGAACTGGACCTGGAAGCTCTGCCTTCTTGCCCTTCTCTCTGTGGCTTTCCTGGGAATGGTCTTCCCACCACTCAGGACTGTGTTTCTGTAACAGCCTTGGGCAGATGATCTGATACTCCATGTCCTCTGGGTTAGTGTTCTCAGCCTAAGTGCTGAGTGTTGGTCATAGTTGGTCAAACTGTAACTGCTCACTGGGGTGGTGGACTACAGATTTTTAATACCTTTTTTTTCTGTATATTAACTGAACTTACTATTTTTTTTCAATGAATATGCATTATTTTGTTAAAATAAACAAACAAAAAGCCCATGTTTTTTTTTTTTCCTTTCAAGTATTGATCTGAGACGGACTTTCTTGGCAGGACTGAATTGCACAGGGGTAAGAAAGAGCGGGAATTGATTGGCTCAAGGACAGATAACAACAACAAGAGAGGAGGCAGACAGAGTATATGTGTGTCTAGGAACAGAGAGGTGCTTAAAACAAGAGACTCCCAGGACAAAATGCTTAAACTCTTTCTTACCATAAGTGGTCATCAAGCCTCTGTTATACTTGCAGTGATGGGAGACTCACTACCTCAGAAGGTAGCCCCTTCTATCTTTGAGCCACTCAGATTCTTAAAGATGTTTTTCTTTACATTGACATGACTGGAAGTCAAGGCTTCAGATTCCCCAGTGAGGCAGGAACACAGCCATGTGCTCAGGGCAGAGCACAATCCTTGCAAAGACCCCATATCAGTATTCTAGATGAAAGCAAGCCTTCCAGAGATGGAGGGGAGTGGGAGAGGCTAGGGTGAATCTTTGAGGGCAGACTCTCCTGACTCTTTTGTTAGCCCAAGGGACTGAGTTTGAGGTCAGGTCCTCTTTCTCTTTGTGGTTCCTACAGGGTAGCTTTCTGCTTCTACTGCCTTAGGCTGCAACACAAGGAAGAGTGTAATACATCCACTGCATGGGAATTTCTGAGAACTGGAGAAGTCTATCCAGAGGAGGTGGCATTTGTTATAAACTGAGTGACACTGGACAAGTTATCAAGCCTTCTAAGCCTCAGTTCCTCATCTGTAAAATGTGGGGGTGGTAAGGTACCTACTGCAAATGAAGACAGAGAGAGGAAATGGGCTGTGCTCCCCAGGATGCCTAGCTCAAAGTCAACACCCCAGTCATGGGGTTGAGGTTCTGTTGAGACCACGTGGAGAGGTCTGGGAGGGCTCAGACTAGTAGAAGGAGTCAAAATTATTTATCTGTTTTTTTAAATATGTTTATAGTTTGTCTTTTCCCTCCAGAACAGTAACAAAAAACAAACCTGTTGCCATTAAGTTGATTCTGACTCATAGTGAACTTATAGGACAAAAGAGAACTACCCCATAGGGTTTCAAAGGCTGTAATCTTTATGAAAGCAGACTGCCACATCTTTTTTCCTGTGGAGCGTCTAGTGGGTTTGAACCACCACCATTTTGGTTAGCAGCTGAGCTCTTAACCCTCTAGAACAGAAGTCAGCAAACTTCAGGCTTTGTAGGTCATCTGTCTCTGTTGCCACTATTGTTGTTAGGTGTCGTCAAGTTGGCTCTGACTCATAGTGACCCTATGCACAACAGAATGAAGCACTGCCCAGTCCTGTGACAGCCTCACAATCCTTGTTATACCTGAGCCCATTGTTGTAGCCACTGTGCCAATGCATCTCATTGAGGGCCTTCCCCTTTTTCATTGACCCTCTACTTTACCAAGCATGATATCCTTCTCTAAGGAATGGTCCCTCCTCACAATGTAAGTAAAGTAGGTCTGATGAAGTCTGGCCATTCCTGCTGCACTTCTTCCAGAACAGATTTGTTAGTTCTTTTGGCAGCCCATGGTACTTTCAGTATTCTTTGCCAAAACCACAATCAAAAGCATCAGTTCTTCTTCAGTCTTCCTTATTCATTGATCAGCTCTCACATGCATAAGAGGCGATTGAAAATACCATGGCTTGAGTTAGGCACACTTTAGTCTTCAAAGAGGCATCTTTGCTCTTCAGCACTTTTAAGAGGTCTTTTGCAGATTTGCCCAGTGCAATACGTCATCTGATGTCTTGACTGGTGCTTCCATTGGCATTGATTGTGGAACCAAGTAATAACGAAATCTTTGACAACTTCAATCTTTTCTCCATTTGTCATGATGCTGCTTATTGGTCCAACTGTGAGGATTTTCATTTTCTTTATGTTAAGATGTAATCCATATTGCAGACTGTAATCTTTAATCTTCATCAGTAAGTGCTTCAAGTCTTTCTCACTTTCAGCAAGCAAAGTTGTGTCATCTGTTGCCACTATTCACTGCTATTGTAACTACTTTCTGCTGTTGTAGAGAAAACAACTATAGACAATACATAAAAAAAAAAAAATGGGCATGGCTATGTTCCAATAAAACTTTATTTACAAAAACAGGTGGTGGACCAGATTTAGCCCATAGATTATAATTTGCCAATCTCTGCTCTAGAATATCAGCCTTGATGAGAGGAAGAATCTTGTCTAACTGTTCATCTCCATATTCTCATGGATGAAGAATGCAGCTGTACACAGCTAGAAGGTCCTCAACAAATCTTGTCTTTGGGTTCTGGAGTCAGATTGAACTGGGTCTCAATCTTACTTATAAACTGAGTGACATTGGGCAAGTTATCAAAGCCTTCTATGCCTCAGTTCCTCATCTGTAAAATGTGTGTGTGGTAAGGCACCTATTGCAAATGAAGACAGAGAGAGGAGATGGGCTGTGCTTCCCAGCTCAAAGTGGACACCCCAGTCATGGGGTAGAGGCTCTGTCAATACCATGTGGAGAGATCCGGTGTGTGTGGGGGGAGGGCTCAGGCTTCTGGAAGGAGTCAGGCCTTCAGGACAGCACTTACAGCCATTGAGGGACATCTCGTAGCCGGAGGTGTGCAGGGCCTCCCGGCTGCTGGTGGAGCTCCGGGGCGGGGTCCATGGGTCTGCATAGGAGCTGGACCGGGCCTTCATCTCCTCCTTCAGAATCAGTCTGCCAATTCCACTCTGAAGCTGAGGTGGGGGCAAGAAGGAGCAACATGAAGTTAGAGTAAAGCAAAGAACACTGAGATGGAACAGACCTGGGAAAGGCCAGCTGACTCACTGTAGTGAATATCGGCCATTTTTGCCTTCCAGCATCCCTCCTTCCTTGCAGAATTCACATTTCTGTTGGGATTCACCACTCTCCCACAAGTAGTCCACTGGGCACAAAAAGCAAGATTGGCCAATGATCACATTGACCTGGCCCTCGTGATTGGTTCACAGATGAGAAGATGGCTCTAGCTGGGCCAAGGAGAGTCTCCTCAAAACTCCTGTTGGAATTCCTGGCACCCAACTTTTTATTTTAACTAAATAGGGAGCTCTGGTGGCATAGTGCCTAAGGCATTTGACTGGTAACCAGAAGGTTGGTGGTTTATACCCACCAGCCACTCTGTGGAAGGAAGACTGGACAATCTACTTCCATAAAGTTTACCACCTTGGGAATCCAAAGGGGGTCACTATGAGTTGGAATCAACTTACTGGCAGTGAGTTTGAGTTTAAATTTTTATTTATTGAGGTGAAATTCACATAACATGAAATTAACTATTTGAAAGTGAACAATTCAGTGGCATTTGGTACAGTCACAATATTGTGCAACTACTTCTATCTAATTCTAAAACATTTGCATCACCCAAAGTAAAATTATGTGTACATTTAGGAGCTGCTCTATTCTCCCTGGGAGCTCTGGTAACATAGTGCCTAAAGCACTTGAATGATAACCAGAAGGCTGGCGGTTCAAACCCACCAGCCACTCCTTGGAAGGAAGATGGGGCAATCTACTTCCATAGTGATACTGCCTCAGAAACCCAAGGAGGGGTCACTATGAGTTGGGTCCGACTCGACGGCACATAACAACAACAACAATTATTCTCCCTTCCCTCCAGCCCCTGGGAACCATGAATCTACGTTCTGTCTCTATGGATATTTCATATAAATGGAATCATATAGCATGTACCTTTTGTGTCTGACTTCTTAGCATGATTTGTTTAAGGTTCATCTAAGTTGTAGTATGTTATCAGTACTGTTTTATGCTTGAATAATATTCCACTGTATGTATATACCACATTTTGTTTATCCATCTGTTGATGGATATTTGGGTTGTTTTCACCTGTTGGCTATTGTGAGTTAAGTGCTGCAGCAAACACTGGCATACCAGTATCTGTCTGAGTCTCTGCTCCACCTATTGTCAGTTTGGGCAATTCCTGATTTCATATACCATGGGGCAGGGAGGAGGGGACTGCTTGGAAGGGCAGCAGAAGGTAGAGCTAGCATGGAGTTTGTGGCTTGGCTCCCTTGGCTGCCCCAGCCTGACTTCGGTCCTTTAGTTTGTAGCTCCTGAGCCATGGCAGCAGCCCAGCTATTGTGGCTCAGATGCACATCCCCTGCCTGGCCACTCTGCAGGTTGGTGCCTGCAGGGAGACACTGGGACTTGGCTCCTCAGTTCCAACCCCTGGGGCTTCTAATTTGACCAGGCTCCCTGGTGTTTGCTCAAAGAGCTCCTCATGATGGCCAGAGGCAGCCAACTGCAGGTATAGGTTTGCAAACCCTGAGGCTTTGGACACTAATGGTGAGCCAGCACAGCTTGCGAGGGGGTTGCTTTGATATATATGTACCAAATATATATAAACATATGTACTATATTTAATATGGTGTTTGCACAATGTCCAAATCACATAAGGATCTGTGAAAACAGGACGTTATCATAGATGTTAAGTGATGCGTACCTAAGAGTGGAATTGCTGGGTCATAGAGTAATTCTGTGTTTAACTTTTTGAGAACTATCAAACTGTTTTCCACAGTGGCTGCATCATTTTACATTCTCACCAGCAGTAGATGAGGTTTGCCGGCACCCATCTTGCCACTGCATGAGAAAAATCTGCCTAAGCATGACGCCAATCAGAAGAAAGCCAGCACACAGGAAGAGATAGCCAGCTTCCCTATTTATTTATTTATGTTTGAGCAGCTGGATCTATTTATACCTGAACATAATCCTACTCTTTGGCTTTTTAGTTATGGGAAGCTATGTATTTCTTTTTCCTTCCTTAAACCAGCTTGAATTTTGTTTCTGTCACTTGCAAATGAAAATGTTCTTAGTAACTGACTCTCTTGGCAACTCATTCAGTGCTATGATCTCCTCACCTTGTGCATGCTGCGGTCAAAATCATCCTCCTCTCCTCCAGATGAGAACCTCCTGGCTCGGGGCACTGTCAAAAGACAGATAGGATCAGCTTGAGCCCATACCTCCCACTCAACCTGCCCTGGGGAGAGGACAGAGAAGGGCATAGAGTCTAGGGGTTAAGCCTGCTCTAAAGCTTTCTTTTTAATTCCACCACTTTTTAGCTGAGCACCCTGACAAATGTACTTTGCTCAAGTGCTCATCCACAGTGATGGACATACGTGTACTGAGCAGTCCAGCATACCTTCCTTTCCTCAGGCTGGGAGGTTCAGGTGAACCTGACCGCCCAAACAGCCAAAGAGTGTCTGCAATGAGACTTTTCCTGCAACTAGTGGGTGGGAGAAATTCTCTTTTGCCCTGGGTACGTTGTAAGCCTTAGATCATCTTTCTTTGGAATGGGCACAAATATGGATCTCTTCCAGTTTGTTAGCCAGGTCTTCCAAATTTCTTGGTATAGATGAGTGAGCGCTTCCAGTGTTGAATCTGTTTGCTGAAACATCTCAACTGGTATTCTGTCAATTCCTAGAACCTTGTTTTTTTGCCAGTGCCTTCAGTGCAGTTTGGGTTTCTTCCTTCAGTATCATTAGTTCTTGATCATATGCTGTCTCCTAAAATGGCTAAATGTCGAACAATTTTTTAGGACAGTGATTCTGTATATTCCTTCCATCTTTTGATGTATCCTGTATTGTCCAATATTTTGCCCATGTTGTTGTTAGGTGCCATTTAGTTGACTCTGACTTTTAGCAACCTTATATACAACAGAACAAAACACTGCCCATCCTGTGCCATCCTCACAAGCATTGCTATGCTTGAACCCATCAAGTATCATAGTTGCAGCCATTGTGTCAACCCATCTTGTTGAGGGTCTTCCCTTTTTTCACTGACCTTCTTACTTTACCAAAAAAGTAGGTGAGATGGCCATAAGGAGCATGCTGGCTGTACTTCTTCAGGGCAGATTTGTTTGTCCTCTGGGCAGTCCATGGTATTTTCAGTATTCTTCGCCAATACCATAATTCAAAGGCATAAACTCTTCTTCAGTCTTCCGTATTCATTGTCCAGCTTTCACATTCATATGAGGTGATTGAAAATACCATGGCTTCGGTTAGGTGCACCTTAGCCTTCAAAGTGACATCTTTGCTCCTTAATACTTTAAAGAGGCCTTTTGCAGCAAATTTGCCCAATCCAATATGATGTTTCATTTCTTGACTGATTCTTCCATGGGTGTTGATTGTGGGTCCAAGCAAAATGAAATCTGATAACATCAATCTTTTCTCCATTTATTATTATAATGATTGTGGTAGTTATGTTTGCGTGTCAACTTGGCTGGGCCTGGTTGAGTGGCTGGGCAGCTGGTGGTAGTTATTCCCCATGATGAGGCTGGCAATCAACTTCATGGTGAGATCTACCACAAGCAGCTGAGAAGCTGCCTTTGGGATGTGGTCTGCTTCCTGTATATAAGGAGAAGCCTTGGGAATGGTCTCTAGCCTTTGGCATGCTTGGACCCTGCATGTAGCCATGTTGTTGTTCAGCAGCCTGCTATGCTCTGCCAACCTTGGGACTTACAATGGACTTAAGTTAATGGCCTGCCATGTGGATTGGTAACATCAGGACTGTGGCTTTTTACTTGTCAACCTTGGGGCTTCTCAACCTCAGCAGCCAGCAGCTGTCTGAGTGAAGAAATGCCTCTAGCTCCAGTGGGCTGGGAGCAGAAGGCAGAATTGGACCCCAAGGTTAAGGGGCTTTTACCCAGCCCCTAGAACCTGCTACTTTGAACTTGGACTTAAAGCCTCCAAATTGTAAGAATAAACTCCTGTTTGTTAAGGCCATCCCATTTGTGGTATATTCTTGTCAGAGTGGCACTAGGTAATCAGAACGATGATTACTGGTCCAGTTGTGAGGATTTTTGTTTTTATGTTGAGGTGTAATCCACACTGAAGACTGAAGTCTTTGATCATCTATTGCAACTCGAGGCTTGACTTTTTCTTCAGTTGATCCCAACTCATAATGACCCCTCCTTGGATTTCCGAGGAGGTATCTTTATGGAAGTAGATTGCCCAGCCTTCCTTCTGAGGAGTGACTGGTGGGTTTGAACTGCCAGCTTTCTGGTTAGCAGTCAAATGCCTTAGGCACTATGCCACCAGAGCTCTCTCTCTCTCTCTCTCTTTTTTTAAATATGTTGAGGTGTAATCCATACTGAAGACCATAGTCTTTGATCATCTATTGCAACTCAAGGCTTGACTTTTCTTCAGTACTTTCAGCAAGAGATGCTGAGTGAGTTCTTCTCTGTTGGTTTTCCAATTCCAGGTTTTTACACATTTCTTTATAATATTTTACTTGTCTTGCTGAACTGGCCTTTGAAATCTTCTAAGAGCAGCCAGAATGCTCCTTAGAGGTGAAGATGGTGAGACTTCATCTTACTTACTTTGGACATGTTATTAGGAGGGCCCAATCCCTGGAAAAGGACATCATGCTTGGTAAAGTAGAGGGTCAGCAAAAAAGAGAAAGCTGTTCAATGAGATGGATTGACGTGGGCTCAAAAATAGCAACTATTCTGAGGATGGCACAGAACAGGGCAATGTTTTGTTCTGCTGTACACATGATCACTCTGAGTTGTAACCATCTCAACAACACCTAGCAACAATGACAGGGTATAAGCCTAGACCTGCTGGAGCTCATCTCACTGTGATGAGAATGGGGCCACCTTCAGGGAAAGCAGTTCAAGTCCTGATGACATTTATTCACCCCCTAGATCTAAGTGGGTCTCAAGTGAATATATTCCCAACTCATTTAGGACATGAGCTAGAACATTTCTTTTCAGCTTAAGCCATGTGGAGCTGTTGTTTTCTTTTGTAATTAAAACAGTTCTGATGAAGATACTCCCTGCTCAGAGTGGTCTCTCACTTATTACCTCTCATGGGTCCTGATCATTGTCCACTTTGGCTTATAGATGTGTTTGTGTCTTTTCTCCTTTTCTCAATGGAAAAGTCTTTGACAGTAAGGAGTGGAGTCATCTCTATAGCTTCCATAAAGCTTTGTTCAGGATGGACATTCAATTAGTAAAGATGTGTGTTGGATCAATTGGATCTTGATGAAAATTCCTTCCTAGACTTGAAATCACTTGAATCACTTGCTTGATTCAGTAGATGGTTCCCTGGGGGCCCACTGAGACACCCTGCCTTGCCAGAATACCCTTGAGTGCCTTCCACCCTCCCTCATCCTCTCCTTGCCATTCTCCATACCACTTTCCACCCTATAAACAAAGGGGTCTCTCAAAAGTGCACATCTGATCATGTCACCACTTTCAATAGCTTCCTACTGTTTAGGATAAAGATCAAAGTTGGAACTCCGAACCACAAGGCTCCTCGGGATCTGTCCCCTTATCCCTCATTTACCCCTCTCTGAACTCTAGCCAAGTTGGTCACTTTTTCTTTCTTCCAGTGGAACCTGCCCTCCCATCTTGGATCTCTGTGTAAGTGTTTCCTTCCATGTTCTTTGCTGATTGACCTCCTTCTGACCCTTCTGATGGAAGATGAGAAGATGTTGACAGGATGCCTCTGCCATCAGCTCTCATCCCTCTTGTTTACCATCTGTCTCTCACAGTTGGGACCTATGTCTTCCCCACAAAGGCAGGGACCAAGTCTATTTTGCTCACCAGTGTATCCCTAGGGCCCACCGTGGGCCCTCAATGCATGCATACCTCAGAGATACTGCGGGTTAGGCTCTAGACCATTTCAGTAATGCAAATATTGGAATAAAGCAAGTCACATGAACTTTTTGGCTTCCTGGAATGTTCACACTATACTTTAGTCTATTAAGCATGCAATAGCACTATGAACATTTTGAAATATTGTGAGAATTACCAAAATGTGACACAGACACATGAAGGGAGCACATGCTGTTGGAAAAAGGGCATTGATAGAGACTTGCTTGATGCAGGATTGCCATAATCATTCAATTTGTAAAAAAATAGAGTATCTGTGAAGCACAATAAAGCAATTAAATGAGGTATGTCTGTACATGTTTGTTGAATGAATAAATGAATGATTGTGTGCAGGAATGGGCAACTATCTTTCCTGACCTCATATGTCTCTGGCACAGGCAGTGGGGTCTGACCCTGGCTTCCCTTTGGGGCACAGTACCTTTGGGGGACCCATGGTAGGTCCAGTATTCAGACTCCGCAGCATAGTAGGGGTCTGGCGAGTAGGCTGGGCTATACTTGGATGCCTGGCTGATGTCTTCACTTGTCTTGCTTTTGGTTGCTGTGGATAAATCACCTGCAGAGGAGCCAAGGAGAGAGCTTCAGGAAGGCAGTGTCCTGGCTGGGACTGTGTACTTTTCCCTTGCCACAGCAAGGCTCTAGTCCAGGGGAGTGAGGCCATTTTGTGGTCAAGGAGAGTCTGGGGTGTGGTGAATCAGAGCTAGAAAGGCACTGGAGCCATCCTCTCATTTTACAGTTAGGAATTTGAATCCCAGAGAAGGGACCAAGTTTGCCCAAGACCACACAGCAAGTTAGTGCCGGAACTGGACCAGATCGCAGCTATGGGTTCCTTCTACCACATTCCATGGACTTCCAGGTCTGCTTCTGCATGAACACCAAGTCCATGGCCTCATGCAGTAAGCCTGGGCAGATCCTTCCTGAGCCACTAGAAGCCTGCCTTGGTATGGATTCAAACAACACCTTAGGTGGGAATCGCCAGGCAAGGCCATGATACAAGCTGAGTCAGGTTAACCTTCTCCACATACTGAAATGCCACACTCTAATTTTGGAGCCACTACCTGAACCAAAGGAAAGAGCACAGGATAGGGAGTCAGCAAAGCTGGGCTCCAGTCCAGCTCTGCCATTTAACTCAACTATAACACTGGGAGGATCCTAGCCTTGTCTATCTCAGTTTCCCCATCTGTGAAGTGTCACAACTGGTCTGCTGGCTCAGGTCTGACTTCAAGTCTCCACCTGAAGTCCATGACATGGGGGTGACCATCAAACTCATCACAGGCACAAATACTTACAGGGCAATGGCATTAGAGCAGCCCAAAGATTGGTGACAGGCCAGCCAGGGCACAAAAAGGGCCTGGGGAAATGAGTGTGGCACCATTACCATTTCTCAGGAGTGAAGCCAGAGCAGCACAGTGTACTGAGACCCACCCTCAGCCACCCCAGCCTGAGCACCTCGCCCAGTAGCATTGGCTTCCAAAGGCTGCAAATTCTCCTCTTGGATTCGGGTCCTGGGCAGCTCCTCACACCCCTAGTGGAAGGCATTTAGCTCTTTTATAGCTCACTTTTGCATGAAATCCACCCTCACCCTAGGGTCCTCCCCAGTCTATCTGGAGCTGTCCCTCAAAGCCCATCTGGAGAATCCCATACAGTCCTGAGAAGCTTGGGACTTGGTACTGTCTCTGGATGTAAAGTCAAACTACTTCCACCTTTCTATTTTATGCCTCCTTTAACCACCTTTTCCCCTTCCTGGCCAAGACCTGCCTGCCTGGGAACATGCCATGCCATTTGTAGATGGAGGGTTTCCAGTAGATGTTACTTTCTCTGAGTTTGTGACTTTCTGTGGTCACTTGGGGGCACATGGCATGTCCCCCACAACTACATGTATATGTGCATAGGCTCACAGACTCACCCTTGATTCCACAGCCCAGCCTCCTTCAACAATTCTGGTGAGAATTGCCTAATTGTAGAATCTTAAGCACCCAGGGCCACTATTTATACTTGCACTATCTTCTCTACCTGCTTAGTTCAGATCCCCAATTCTGGAGCTGCTTCCACCCACCAACATGCTCGTTTAACTCCCATCTCTTTTATCCCAGCCAGAACCTTAGGCAAATGAAGGTGCTATAAGCTGGCAGCTGCTCCTCTAGATTCTAAACTCTTCAAAAGAAAATAGAAATCTCAGCTGCTGTTGAGTTGATTTCAACTTACGGCAATTCCATTTCTATCAGAGCAGAACTGTGCTCTATAGAGTTTTCAGTGGCTGATTTCTTGGAAGCAGATTGCCTGGTCTTTCTTCTGAAGTGCCTCTGGGTAGACTTGAACCTCCAACCTTCAGTTAGAAACCAAATGCCTAACCATTTGCTACATCCAGGGACTCCATCCTCAAGGGAAGGGATGTATTTGAGTATCAATGCCTTAGTGTTTGACTCTCCCAGGGATATATGCATTTTGCAAGGATTGCTTTGACCATGGAGTTAAGGACCCCAGAGAACAGTTAAAGGTAGCAGTTGGGGAGAAGGTGGAAGGGGTTTAAGGGACACAAACCTTCCTTGCTCCTTTGAAATGACACCATACTCCTCCCCAGTGTCACCTTGAATGATTGGGGAGCAGCCAGCAAGGAAGGACCAAGTTGCAGCCTTGAGGAGTGTCCTTCCTGGTGATCTTAACTTCCTTTAACATCCCCCCTCCCCTTGCCTGGTCAAGACCTGCCTGCCTGGGACCATACCATGCCGTTTGTAGATGGGGGGTTTCCGGTAGATGTTACTTTCTCCAGCTGCCAGACAGACCAGGTAGGGACAGTGGGGAGGACAAAGAGAGACAAGGAGAAAAGGAGACAGCGGTTGGTCAGTTGATCTCAGGAGACAGAGATGGTCTCTCTAAGGTTCTACCATCTTTCTTTTGGTGCACTTCTTCCAAAGTTGAGCTTCCAACCTTATCCCAACATGTTTCAAGTAAGGGAGAGGGAAAGTAATGGATGGGTTCAGATGGTGCTGAGGTAGGTACTTAGGGCTTGAATGGTGGGCATGCAGGCACAGGTGGGCACATGCTCAGCAGGACCCCATGCAGGGAAGTTGTCCACTGCCTCCACCCAGTAGTCATGTCTTGTTCCATGTGAAAGTACCCAGGATGCTGCAGCCAAGTTTCAGCTTTATCTTCCTCACCCTCCCTCAAAAAGTCAGAATGGGACCCTTCTAGGGGAGTCAAGAGAGGTATAGATGAAGCAGCAGGACAAGTTCCCAGGAAAAAGTGGGTGAGGAGTAAAAAACTGAGCTCAGAGCTAAGAGACTGGGGTTTAGGCCTGGCTTTGCTATAACTCAGGGTATGACCTTACCCAATTTACATCTACAAAGTAATCTAAACCTATTGCTGTAGAGTTGATTCCAATTCATAATGACACTATAGGACAGTAGAACTGGCCCATAGGATTTCCAAGGCTGTAAATCTTTATGAAAGCAGACTGCCACATCTTTTTCCCATGGAGCAGCTGGTGGGTTTGAACCACCAACCTTTCAGTTACCAGCCAAGTGCTTAACCACTGAACCACTAGGGCTCCTCTCAAGTTATCTAGCTCCTGCCTTCCTCTTATCTCCTATCACTCTTGTTAAGTAAGTGTGGGCAGGAGAGGGGGCAAGCTACTACCTGCAGCCATGCTGGCTGCTGCCTGTTTCAGTTCTAAGCCTTCATACTTGCTGTTCCCTCTGCTTTTCCCTGTGATCTTCAAAGGCTGGCTCCTTCTCATCGTTTGGCTTCAATGCCACCTCCTGAGAAGCCCTTCCTGATTACCCTACCTAATCTAGCTTCCCCCAACCCAGTCTTCCCATCATATCACCCTATTTTATTATGTGCATAATACCTATTACCTGGCATTACCCATTTACTCACTGGTTTATTTACTTATTGCCTGTATCTCCACATTGGAACATAAACACCACAAGGGCAGGAAGTGGGTCTGTATAGATGGAGCAAAAGAGGCTTAGAGAAGCTAAGTAACCAGCTCCAGATAGTGCAGCTAGTAAGCAGTGGAATCGGAATCCAATCTGAAGAGTTTTGATGCAAAAGCCTGTCATCTTCAGCACCAGGTGTTACAACCTCATTTACCATGACATTGGAGGCACTTCCTACTTGCTCCCTGTGCCTTCTGTTCCCTGGGCTGATTCTCTGAAGACCTGCTCAGTCCTCTTGATCAAGGTTGGTTCTATCACATTGGTAGACTATGTCCTGTGGCCATTTGGTGGAGAGTGAGGTTAGTGGGAGATGACTGGTTTGAGAGGGTCCCCCAAGAACTAGCTTCTTCTTGGTGCTGGCGCCCAGCAACCCCACAAAGCATGCACCCATGACGGGTATCCGGGGCTGGCAGCGCCTACCTGGGATGTGAAAGTGCTTGGGAGCCTGGTAAGAGGTCGGAGTGGAGGACCTCACATCTAACTGGCTATGGTATGGAGAGCTCCGGCCACTCTCGGGCCCTGGAGCACGCAGGCAGTGGTCCCCAGAGAGAACAGAGGCATAGAGAAAACAGGCATTAACGCAGTGGCCGTTCAGGAAGCAGTGAGGTGATGACAGCAAGGATGGTGGGGATGGGCTGGGGCACCCAGCGTGCTCAGGTCTGAGTTGGGAGAAGCATGTGCTCTCATGCATGCCTGCAGGAACAGGCTTGATCCTGCTTCTTTGCTTGACCCCAAAAGATTCATGGGTGGGCAGAATCAACTCTACGGAGCTTCATGAAGGCATCGTCACTTTTCTTAGTTGCCCACCCCTGTCCACCCAGGCCCCTCCCTTCTTTGGTCTTTTCCTCCATTGCAGTGACTCCATTGCAGTGGGCCCAGGCCACACCCCTGTTGCTGGGCTCCTGGTTGTGCCCTCTGATGTGGCAGGTCAAAGATGAGGGTAGAGGAGGGTAGAGGAGTCAGTGCCAGGGCACTGTGCTGCCCACTATTCCCTGCTCTTGGTGACTCACCACCCACCTTCATACTGCTTCTCAGCACCACGGACCTCTCTCCCCTCCCGCTGGATCCTCCCACCAGGGTGCATCTGCAGGGACTCAGGGAGGCGCAGCTGGTCATCTGGGTGGCCACAGCCTTCCAGTGGCCCATGCTGGTGTGGGAACCCCAGGCTACCTCTGCAGCTCAGGGACACTTATCCATTGCTTTATCCCCTTTATACCCCCTCTCCTTTTGTGGGCTTCCCTTCCTTACCAGAACGGTAGTAGTGGTGAGGTGAGCGGGAGAAAGTGGGGGACATGCCCTGCCGGCTGTAGGTGGGAGAATCGATGTATCCCGGGCTAGAGGCCCGTCTCTGCCGGAGGTCCAGGTTCTCATAGATATCCTGGGGGAAGAAGTGGGGCCGTGAGCATATCAGGCTGTTAGGTGGTTTGTGGCCCAAGGGTCTAGCAGGGAGGTGGGGGAGTCATATGGAATCAGGGATTCTAGGCACTGAGGTAGGGTGCTGCCCCTCTAAATATAGAGATCCTCTCCTGGAGTTCCAAATACAGTCCAAGGAGGCTGGCAGGGCCTTCACCCATCACTCTCAGCCCCTTGAATAGACCCTGGAGTCAATCTCTGGAATTGTAGCCAGGGATCAGAGAGGCATTAGGGAGGTTACCTCTGGGTAGAAAGGACATGTCAGGTTCTCACCCAGACATTACCATCCTTTATGCCACCACCACTTCCTCTGGGCCATGTCCCTATCTCTCTGCATGTGCCCAGGTTGGGGAGAGCACTTTGAGCAAGGGCTTAGGGCTCTTAGGGGACTAGGGAGGGGGGATCAGGAGCCTGCAGTCAGCAGAGAGAAACACAGCTATATAAGATCTCTGAATTAATTACCTGGGAGTAGGGAGATAATGTTCCCAGCGACTTAGAAGCGAAGTTTGAAGGTAGCCATGGGAGGAACACAAAGGAGAGAGAAGAGGAAGAGAGTGAGGCACAGAGTCTGGTTAGATGGCTTAGCAGAGAGAGCCTGAAGCTGCCTCAGGCTGGGTGTCCTCTCCACAAAACAGCTGCACTCAGAATTCAAGAATACCAGACCAGTGGTAGGAACCCTGAGATCTTGTCCTTTTTTTATATAAATGGGTAAACTGAGGTCCAAGGAGGGAGCTGGACCATGTAGCCTCAGGAAGGAAGAGGCAGGCTCTTGACTTGGATCCCAGCTTCTCTACCACAAGTTCAGAGTTATTTTCATGACTTCCTTGTTTACCAGCACGACCCCTCTGTGGTTCATAAAGACAGTGCCCAGGGCAGGGGCCAAGAAAGGACTGGGAAGGAGGTGGGCAGTGCAGCAAGCTGGAGAGTAAAAGCAAGCTGGAGAGTAAAGGGGGCAGATGCTCCTCAGCTCCAGCAGGTCAAGGCCATGCTGAAGGGCCTGCTCCTTAGTTTTCCAAAACTAAAAAACCAAACTCAATGCCATGGAGTCGATTCGACTCATAGCAACCCCTCCTTGGGTTTCTGAGGCAGTATCTCTATGGAAGTTGACTGCCTACTCTTCCTTTCATGGAGTGGCTGGTGGGTTTGAACCGCTAGCCTTCTGGTTAGCAGTCAAATGCCCTAGGCACTACACCATGAGAGCTCCCATTAATTTTCTAAGAGAAGTCAGAAATACAGAACCTTATGTAAAATCTCTCTATGTTTAAATGTTGGCAACAAATTTACATTTTTAAAAGGCACATTGTGAGAGAGATGAAATAAATCTAGGGGCTCACAGTAGCCTGTGAACCCTGGATTGTCACCTCAGACTTCAGGATAATCAGCTTCTTCTAAACACTTGGTTCCTTTTTCCTGGTCCATTTTGAGGCCAGCATCCAGAGAGCCTCAGCAATGGGCTGTTACACTTGATTTGACTCACAGGATGGCTGCTTTCCAAACAAATGGAACACCAGTCCCTTAAGAGAGGAAAGGGACTTGTCCAAAGCTCCAAAGCAAGTTAATGGAGCTGGGATGAGAACCCCAGTCTCCTGCTCACCAGGCTAGGGCTCCTTCTGCTCTGAACTGTCCCATCTCAAAGGGCCCGGGGTGGTGCTAGAGAGCTGGCAGGATATCTAATGTAATGGTCACTCTGTGCTCCCCAGAGAACACTTTCTCTCAACTCCCCCCCTCACCCCCCAGTTGCTGGGGAGTCATTTCTGACTCATGGTGATCCCATGTGTGTCAGAGTAGAACTGTACTCCACATGGCTTTCAATGGCTAATTTTTTTCGAAGTAGATCACCAGGCCTTCCTTCTGAGGCACCTCTGGTGAACTTGAAGTTCCATCATTTTGGTTGGCAGCCAAGTGCATTAGCTGTTTGTACCACCCAAGGAGTAGCCATTTAATTATTTCAATAAGCCATTGGATGCAGAGTCTTTATAAAAGCATCTCTTCCTCTAAGCACAGAAGTTTAAAGCCAGATGCAAAAACTGGTAGCCTAGCTACCAGAACTCACTGCCGTTGAGTCAATTGTGACTCATAGCAACCCCTCCATGTGTTTCCAAGGTGGCATGTCTATGGAAGTAGAGTGCCCAATCTTCCTTCTGAGGAGTGGCTGGTGGGTTTGAACTGCCAGCATTCTTGTTAGCAGTCAAATGGCCTAGGCACTACACCACCAGAGCTCCTATAAATGTCAAAGCCCATGAAGCCAGAGGATGTAAATGAGAGCCATGGGCTGGGTATAAAAAAAATTCTCCATTATAAGAAAAACAACAGTTCAAGTGCTAAATGGTCAAAGGCTCTTGGCTTCAATGCTGGAAGTCAACAGGGAGTAGTAGGGACTGGGGAGAACTGAAGAGCCCATGTCCTGTTCATGGTTACTACCCATCTCCAGATGGTAGAAATGCAGGTTCAGTATTGCCACCTCTCATTTCGCAAGAAAAGCCAGAAAGCCAAATTTTTGAGTGAACTCTCCTGATTTTTAAATGCCCACTATATGTTCCATTTAAAAGACTCTGGGGCAAACACCATGGAGGCCAAATCATCTGTGATGGACTAGGCTGCGGACCCCAGTGGGACTTCCTCTTCTCTAGCTGTCTCAGGGAAGGGCAAGACTCAATACCTCTCCATAGCCACATCTCTCCAGCATCTCGTCGGAAGTGTATCTGGAATGAGGGTCGTAGGAAATGAGGTCGGGGCGTTGTACCTCGTAGATTGACTTAACCTTGGGGAGAGCTGCCAGGTCTTTGTAATTAAGGATCTCATTATCCACTTTAGCCTGGGGAAAAGTGAGATGAACAGGAAAGAAGTAGAAAGATAAGTGGGAAAGGAAAGAGGAAACTGAAAACAAAATATTAGGACCAAAGAATCAAAGAATGTTAGACTAAGAAAGGTTATAGAAGCCATTTGTTCCAACAGGACTAATATTTATTGAGCATATATTGTATGGTAGGTACTATGCTTTATAGGAATTATCTCCTTTACCTGTCACTGCCCTGCTGGGAAGTATCAATATTATTCCTATTTTCCAAATTAGGAAACTGAGGCTTACAAGGTTCACTTACTTGCATCCCTTTGCTAATAGGTTTGAATTAAGTCTGAACTACACAGTCTGAGCTGAGCTGCCTTCCAACTTCACACAGTGAGGACTCTCCATTTATAGCATCCTTGGAGAAGGTGATGAAGGTGGTAAAGACAGAAATAATCGTGATAGTAAAATACTAGCTAACATTTGGTGAGCATTTATCAGCCAGACTCTGTCCTAAATCTCTTATATGGATTAATCCAGTTAATCTGTACACCTCATAATTCTAATAGTAACCCACTGCTGTCAAGTCATATCTGACTCATGGTGACCCCTCCTTGGGTTTCTGAGGCAGTGTCACTACGGAAGTAGATTGCTCAACCTTCTCTCTGAGGAGTGGCTGGTGGGTTTGAACCACCAGCCTTCTGGTTAGTAGTCATATGCCTTAGGCACTAAGCTACCAGAGTTCCTAATTCTAATAGTAGGTGCTGATATTATCTTCATTTTTGAATAAGGAAATACAAGCACAAATAAATAGATTAACTTGCTTAAGTTAATTAGCTAATTCAGCTACTAAGTGGCAGAATCAGAATTTGAACCCAGGCCATCTACCCTGAGAAGATGCCCTCTCCACTGGCCTCTCCTGACTTCATGTGATGGGGAGCTCACTGTCTTACAATGTCAGAGGGCTACTCTGAAAGCTGCCCCTTACAGGGACTGAAATGAGCTCCTAATGATTACTTGACTTCATCTGAGTTCAGCCTTCTGGTATGGCATCTATTAAAAGAGCTTCCTCTTACATGTGACAGTCCATGTCTTGTGGCTCCTCAAGGCATGTACTCTCCATGTCTATGTCCTCCAGCTGTTTCCTCTGTGACTCCGTGTTTGCTATCGTCAATTGGGATCTGTTTCTCTGTGATTACTGCGACTTGCTGGATCTTGGGCTGAGGTAAATTAAGACAGAGATGACTTGTCCTCATAAAATGCTCCTGATGCCATGGGGGCAGGTAAAGTCTCAGGGCCAAGACTGATTTAGAAAAATTTTTATAAATACTTTATAAGCTTCAATATTTTAAATTCTCTAGTTCCTTCCACTATTCTATCCCCAGCGAAACCCACTACTGCTTGGGCACTGTTTATTACGCCTAGATTCACTATCCACCCTTCCTTGCCTTCAGTGGTACCTTGAAACACTCCACGAACTATGTCACCAAGATTTCTTGATCTTTAGCTTTCACTTGGGTTTCGTCAATGAGAGGCACCAGAGGAGACTGGAAGTTGGTGAATTGCCACCCACTTCTCATCTTTCAACTTGGTTAGGTTCCAAAGACTAGGTTATGTGAAAATTGACATTATGTGAAAATGGAGACCACAAAATGGAGGATGACAACGTCATTATAAAAAAAAAAAAAAAACAAACAAAAAACTTACTGCTGTCAAGTCGGAGCCGACTCATAGCAACCCCTCTTTGGGTTTCTGAGGCAGTATCACTATGGAAGTAGATTGCCTAACCTTCCTTCCAAGGAATGGCTGGTGGGTTTGAACTGCCAGCCTTCTGGTTAGCAGTCAAATGCCTTAGGCTCTATGCCACCAGAGCTCCCTAAATGAAATCATCACATAACTGTCAAATTACATCATTATATAACTATCAAGTGACATCATTACATAACTGCCAAATTACATCATTACATAACTGCCAAACCACTGAGAACAATGGTCCAAGTTGACACATAACCTTAACCATCACAGCCAGTGTTACTCTCACCTCTCATCTCAGCATTCATTACTGCCAGATGTTGTTAACGTGCAATATAGTCAGGTAGTAGATTTTTTTACTATTGTCGTAAATGTGAAATGTTGGATAATGAGATAGTAAGTGAGGAGTCCGTGTACTGCCTCTGCTCTCTCCCTGCCTGGCCATGGGCTTGGCAGTGGCCATGCTTCTCTCCTGTCCAGTGGCTGCTCTTCCACAGCTCCAGCTCTGGCCATCGCTCATTACACTGTTCTCTTCCCTTGTCTCTTTAGGCTAGGGGTGGTGATAGATCCCTCTGTTGTAGTCTCTGGATACCTCACTATCCCTTTGGGTTCCTTTAACTCTGCCCACTACGAGTAAATGGCCCCTTTTGAAACTCTCCTCAGTTAAGTCCCTTGAAATGTGCTTTCTGAAGTCTGCCAGAGCCTTCCTGGAACAGACACCTACATCAATTTTGGGGTGTGGGGTAAAAAGAACTACATCAGGAAAATCCACTTGCTGAAGTAACTTCTGCCTTGTCTATTAGAGATGTTGGATCTTGATATTGAGAGCTTTTGGCATTTTGCAAACTCTAACTCTACCCATATTATTCATCTTGGCACTTTCTCCAAACCTCAAAAATAGTAAGTTTATATTTCTGTCGATAGCCTACTTCCAGGGCTACAAATGAGCCTTAGGTCTAGAGACACAATGACTGAACAGAGGCATCCTAACATAATCAGCCAGGAAAGAAGGAAGTCAACACAGGGGGCTGGTCGAAGTCAAATTCCCTTAAGATGGTTCTAGTGCTCAGTGGAGGCAGAGCAAAGTTTGAAAGCTTTCTGCCCCCTGTAGGTTCAATTTTAATATCCAATGTCATTATATATGAAAATATAACCAATTTTCTATCTTTGTGACTGTTATTACATGTAACAAAAAAGTTTAGATGGATTTTCACACTTGGAGGACAAACTTGGAATGGTCTGATTTAAAATATGTCTCATAAGACATGTGTAGTCATTGCCTAGAGCAGTCGGAAGTGAGGTGCTATAAGAGATGAGAGCAAGAGATTGTGAGAGACACATGCCCATGCTAGGACCCAAGGGACAACTGACCAAAGTGTATCAGCCCCAGTTACAGGGCAAAAGGGCAGGAGTCCCCAGTTGCTGTTGTTCATCTGTAGTGGAGCTGCTTCTCACAGGGGCAACTCTATGTAGCTTTCTCCAGGGTGAACTTCATTAGGGACTTACTTATTTCATGAAGGTTAACAAGCCTCCTCAGTAGCATAGAGGAGCCCAGCTAGTGATTAACGGCATTAGAATGCAGCAGCTTTCTGAGCTCTCATATTCTGGGAACTCTCTTCTGGAGACAAACTCACATTTGTCAATAATCTCACAGTGTAGGCTCTGAAACTAAGCCCATTAATCCTGCTGTGGTCTGGCCCCATTCATAATACTAGCGGGACTATCATCTCTCTTGTTCTGGACAGGAATCTTTATTTTGTACTGCCTGTGATCAAAGCAGCTTGACTTTTGTGGCAGCCACATGGCAGTATGGACCCAGATTGCAGTAGCAGTCAATGAGAACATGTCCTTTTCTCATTTGAAAAGTAGAAGAAAGGAAAGGAAATATCCCATCAATGGGCATTATCCAGGGATCAAAGAGGAAACTGGGTGTGGATTTGGAGTAAGGTAATCATCTTGCAGTGGTGGTCAGGCCCAGCCTGAGTGGCTGGTTTGGAAACTGTATCTAGTTTCCTCTAAGGAATGGGTTTCCTGCTATAGACCAGTATCAATACCAGTAGTACCAGTTGCTATTGAGTTGTTTCTGATTCATGATGAACCCATGTGAGTCACAGTAGAACTGTGCTCCACAGGGTTTTCAGTGGCTGATTTTTCAGTAGATCACCAGGCTTTCTTCCAAGGTGCCTCTGGGTAGGCTCGAACCTCTAACCTTTCAGTTAGTAGCACAGCATGTTAACCATTTACATCACCCAGAGAATGCTATAGACTCGTTTCCCCATATAGCTGGTCATCTTGACTCTTTCAAAGTGTGGAAGGCTGGAACAGTCCAGAGTCAATCAGATTGAGTTAGCTTACTGTCAATCCTCTCCTTTGTCCATTTCAGTCTTCCTTGTTATGCTCTACTTCTGCTAACTTCTATTTATCCTTCAAGTTTGAGCTTAACTGTTTCTTCCTCAGGTAAAACCTCTCCCAATTGGTTCTAGATTGTCAGATCTCTCTGGTATAAATTCTCAGTGCTCTCTCTGTACTTTATCTCCCTTGTACTTATCATAACTGCAATTGATTATCTATGTAATGATTTGCTTAATGTTATGAGGACAGACATTAGGTCTGTGTGGCTCACCACCATTTCCTAAGTCCTAGGCACAGCACTTAGTGCAGAGTAGATTCTCAGGAGGTATTTGTTGAATGAATGAATGAATGAATGGATGAATGAATGAATTACATATCCAAGGTACCTCTGAGGTGATCTAACTCAACTCTTATCCCTTCTGCCATATCTCTGGCAGATGATAAGTCTTCATTTGAATGCCTCTGCAGATAGAAGGGGTCTACTCCCTCCTTCAACTACTAACATGATTAGAAAGTTCTTCTTTATGTTTGAAAATCCTTTATGGCCAATCGTTCACATTCACACGTCTTCCTTCTCCTATCTGTCCCTATTACATACCTCTACATCTACATCAATATTCTACCCAACACTCACTGCCATCTGATCCCATATTTTTAACTTGCCCTTGTTTCAGTTAAGCAATGGAAAAGGAAGTACCTTGTACTGTCTTTGGCACTCATCAAGGGCTCTGGCTGTCAGTGATATGTTCTTTCTTGTGCTCCCAATGAACTCCATATGATCCCTGTAACTCTGGTATGTAATTCTGTTTACTAGACTGTCTGTCCCATTAGGCAGGGTCTATATCTGTCCTGTTCCTTTCTGTATCCTCAGAACCTAGCACAGAACTTGACACATGACAGGCATGCCCTAAATATCAGTTGGATGAAATCCTGTTACCTGTCTCTTTGGCTACTCTTTAGATACCAGTCCTGAGAATAATAAAGGTCCTTTGCTGGCCAGAAAGTGATACGTACGCAGATGACTCGGTTGGGTGACCCAATGCTGGATCCAGGGGGTGAGATGGATGTTTCGGACGTCCGCCTATGCTGTGGGGACAAAGTAGAAGGAGTGAGAAGCTGCACTTCAGTTTTGGCAGGAGAAGTGAGACGGGTGCAAGGATGTGGCTCTCTATGGAGAACACTAGTAATACTCCTAAAATACTCTGGTTGCTTGAGTACTTTCCTTAAGCTTTCTGCCTTTTTAATCAATATCTGAGCATGAATGAAATCCAAAATGTATAGACTTTAGACTATTAAACAGAATGTGAATTTGCTTTCTATATATTTACAATAGGCCTTTTAAATAGGAACTTTCTCATACAACTTTTCATTTTTGGTTATCTCAGCCAATAATGCATTTACTTTAAATGAATAACAGATTTTAGCACACATTCTTTAGCAGTTGTTTACTCAACATATAAAGGTAGACTAAACTTCATGTAATTGCACAGCACACATTCTTTATAGTATATCCACTGCAAATTGACATCAGCCTAGGAGATAAACTCAAAGTCTTTCTCTGAACAATGGCAATGAGGATTAATAGTTCCCTTAGGAGAACAACATGATGTCAGCCTGAGTGCATCTAAGAGGGAAGCAGCATCTTTTGGTTAAAAGTAAACTGATTGGGAATAAAGGACCACTAGCAGATTATGTGATTTGAGGGATCTTGAATTCCTGATTGGTAAAATGAAGGGGCTGGTTTCAAGGATTGCTAAATTCCCTTCCAGATGTCTCAAACTACAACTCAAAGAGTTCTTATGAGACTATATAGAAGTGCTTTCCAAAATGTGGACTGTGGACTAGCAGTGGCTCTGGGGGGATGAATTGAGGTGCTAGCTTTGATGACATGGAATCATAGAGTGAGAGAAAAAAAATTAAAATTCTTTTTCAATCCTCTTGCTTAAATTGAGGAGGAAGCCTCAGTTTGGTGCTAATATAACTTCAACACCTCTCTTAACAGTTAAGAATCCCCTCCTTTTTTTTTTTTTTTTTAACAAAAAGAGTGCACACAACATTATCTAGCTGGAATTTATATAATTGTTTCATGTTCATTGACTTTGTTTTATGGTTCCCTTCATTTATAGCAAGTAATAATGGTTTTCCACTAGGGATAAAGGTTTTCTTTTGAAATAAACTTGCTTCAATAAAAAATAATGAGCTGATTTAAAGAAAACTATTAAGTGTACTATTAAGTGTATAATGATACAGGTGCTAGACACATACTGCAAAAGGCATCAGGGTTGTATAAGGACACTGGAGTTTGGGACATACTGCCAAAAGGAAAGAGGAAAGTGAGGAAAAAGATGATTAGGCCTTCTCACTCCTTACATGGGAGATACCTTGGAAGAAACAGGGGGAAAAAATTTACAGCTAAAAAAAAAACCACTTACACATCAACAGACCAGATCTTTCACAAAATTTACATTAAGTGGGTGAGATGGAAAAGCAAAGGAGACTTAATGTTAATAGCTGGTCAGAAACACACAATCCACACGTTTTGGGTGGCTGAGTATCCAAAAAAAAAAAAAGAGACCAAAACTCACTGCCGAGTATCTAGCAGGTAACCTATACTAGAGCCCTGAGCAGTCATGTTGATATCCTGGGGCCAGAGTGTAAAGGAGATCATTGAGTGCTGCTTCTAAGGTATCCTCTCAGCAGTATCACCCCTCAGGATATGGGCCCCTCCCTGTAAGTTCAAGGCTCCACCCCCTCACTGTGATCCTTGGATCAAGCACCCAGTTTCCTAGGACTTGCTGGTACTTGTCAGGGCATAATGTTTCAGAAAGATGCAAGGGGCTCAGCTGGGCCAGTGTGTGCCTGGGGCACCTGCTGTGCTTCCTGGCTGGACTGCTGTGGGCAAACTCTTTAAAACTTGGCTTTCTCATAGGCAAAATGAAGATAAAAATCCTTGTCCTATATGCCTTACAGTTTGCTTTGCAAACTATCAATTATTGAGCTAATATTAACCACTATTATGCTCTTAGGCTGGGGACATGACATTAGCCCTTCAGAGAGGCCACCATCTTGGTATGCAATGGAAAGGTTATAGACTTGCCCTGGAAAAACTCATAGTTAACACAAAGCTTTACAGTTTTCAAAGTGCTTTCCATTCCAATGTATTAATTCCCTCAAAAGCCCTATGAAGCAGGTATTATCATTAAGGAAGTCCAAGGACATAGGCACACAATTGGGAGTGTACACACTAAGGAATGCTGACTATGCACCACAGTACAGGGCTGCCTACTACCAATCTACCACCAACCTGCGGTAAAGAGTTATCCACACAGGAGTGCTGCTCTGGTACCACTATATTACTTGCTTACCTTCAACTTCTTCTCTGCCCGGGCTGCCTGTTTGCAGATGGGGTGCCAAACTTCAGAACCTAAGGGACCAGGAAAATAAAAAAAGCCTCAGACATATCCAATCTTCCCAGCATTCTGAATCTCCCTTTATCCCCACTCACTCGGCAGGCAGCCCAGATGCCCAATACATCAGCAGGATCACCCTTTTCCTTCCCCACTTCTCTGCTGGTACACTTACCCACATTTCCTCAGTTTTGAACACCCACACACTTTTCCGCCAGTCCAATTCCTAGTCATTCCTCACACAACATCCTCTTGCAAACTTCTTACCTATCAGCTGGGAGTGACTTCTCTCTCCTCCACAATCCATTGGTCTATGTATCTCCCTCAACACATATAGTTTGGAATCACAGTAGTTTGTAGATTTATCACCTCTAAATTAAGAGCTCCTCTGGGCTGGGACTGAGCTCTTACTCATTGCTGTATCTCCCAAACACTTAGCATGGGACTTTGCACTTAGCAGTGGCTCCATACATGTCTGAATAGATGAGCAGATTACTGGCAGTGAGTGACACAGCAGGTGGTCAATAAATATTTGTTGGATGAATGAATGGTAGTGGGGGTGAAACAAAATGACAGACCATGGTTAACTCTAGCTCTCTTTGCTCTTCAAAGACTTATGGCAGGCCACCAAAGTTATCACATTTGAGGGGAGGAGGTGTCATGGTGTACATTTTACTTGATAGTACTGTCTTGACCTGCTAATTCCCAAGAGACTCTAAATTTTTCAAATTTAGTACATGGCTAATGCCCACATTTTATTGTGGGTGGAGGTCCAGTTGGCCAGCCCCAGACCTGAGAGGCCAATTTGGAAAGGCATGAGCAACAGGTGGCTGGTCACATACTGAGAAGAAGCCTCAAATATTACACATTCTCCAGAGAAGAGACAGGTGTCCTGGATTAGAATGAAAAAAAATAGGAACATATTATCCCCGTGGTGCCGTTCCTCCTGTAACCATCTCTAAAAGGAAAGAAGCCAGCAAATGGCTGGATTCCTGAGCACCCAGATGGCATTTGTTTGTCTGACTTTGTTTCTAGAATACACTTTCCATTATGGTTTGTTGCCTGGAACTTCCAGGACTGGAATACTGGCTTAGCAACTTGGGGGATGGTGTAAGGTTGAACAGTTACTCAGACTTGAAAGGGGAGAGGATGGGCCTACAGTAAGGACATCTGGGTTCTTGTTTCTCCTAGACCCCTAACTCATCCTCCCTCAGGCTTCCAGTTTCTTCATCAGAGTAACAACAAAGTGGGAGGTAGATGGTCTTAAAGATTATTTTCATGTCCAGCATTCGAATTCTAGGGCCAGTTTTGTCATTTGTAGATTAAACTCACTGCCATCAAGTCAGATCCAATACGTAGTGACCCCTCCTTGGGTTTCCAAGGCAGTATCACTATGGAAGTAGATTGCATAACCTTCCTTCCGAGGAGTGGCTGGTGGGTTTGAACTGCCAGCCTTCTGGTTAGCAGTCAAGTGCCTTAAGCACTTCTTGGTTGCTGACATTCTTTGGTATTCCTAATAACCCAACAAGCCTTTGTGTTGTTGTTAGGTGCTGTTGAGTCGTCTCTGACACATGGTGACCCCATGCACAGCAGAATGAAACACCACCTGGTCTTGTGCCAGCTCCACGATCCCTGCTATACTTGAGCCCATAGTAGCAGCCACTGTGTCAATCTGTCTATTGAGGGCCTTCCCTTCTTTCTTCAACCCTCCACCTTACTAAGCATGACATCCTTCTCCACGGAATGGTCCCTTCTGATAACATGACCAAAGCAGGTGAGACGATGTCTGGCCATTCTTGCTTCCAAGGAGCATTCCGGCTGCACTTCCTCCAGGACAGATCTGTTAGTTCTTTTAGCAGTCCAAGGTGCTTTCAGCATTCTTCGCCAGAACCACAACTCAAAAGCATCAATTCTTCTTCAGTCTTCCTTATTCACTGTCCAGCTCTCACATGCATGAGGTGATTGAAAATATCATGGCTTGTGTCAGGTGTACCTTAGTCCTCAAGGAGACATCTTAGCTCCTCAGCACTTGAAAGAGGTCCTTTGCCGCCGACTTGCCCAGTGCTATACGTCGTCTAATGTCCTGACTGCTGCTTCCATTGGCAGTAATTGTAGAACCAAGCAATGTGAAGTCTTTGAGAACTTCAATCTTCTCTCCATTTATTGTGATGCTGCTTATAGGTCCAGTTGTGAGGATTTTTGTTTTCTTTATATTGAGATGTAATCTATACTGCAGACTGTATTCTTCAATCTTCATCAGTAAGTTCTTCAAGTCATCCTCACTTTCAGCAAGCAAAGTTGTGTTGTCAGTATATCGCAGGTTGTTAATGATTCTTCCTCTAATCTTGATGCCACGTTCTTTAAGCCTTAATTCCTTCTAATGTAGAGTGTAGTGGCCCTAGGAGCCCAGTAGAGGGACTCTGGGGCTGCAACTTGATCAGTAATCACAGGGTGTGTCCTGGCTTTCTGGAGTTATTAGAGAGAGCATTTCCGGTTTCTCTCTGAGTTGCTCCTGAATCTATCAAGTCTACCAGGGGTTGTTTACCACAGTGACTCTGGCAGGAAACACATGTTATAGGTCAGTGTAGGAAATGGTCGAGGCGGATACAGAGGTCTAAGAAGGTCATTTGATTCAGTGAAAGAGGCAGAGGGAAGATAAAGGGTCAGGCAGGAGTCCTCATGGGGGGAAGTGATCTGGAAAGTGAGGGGGTACACTGATGGTCTCTCTTGCCTTTTGACTTCATGACATTGACATATCTGCTGAGCTGCAAATGGCCACAATCTTCAGCACTCTGCACCCAGGAAAGTATGTTTATATAAGCAAGGTGTGAGGGGGAATCAAAAGAGAAAAAGAAAATGTAACTTGAGTGTGTGTGTGTGTGTGTGTGTGTGTGGAATCAGAAGCGTAAGTTGGTAGTATATCATCAAAATAAAAGAGGGCCAAAAAGGAATTTGTTGTTAGTTAGCAATGAACTTAGATAAATGAAGGGAAGACAAGGTGGTTTGTTCATGAAGATCCCTAAGAAATACCCTGAAAGTATGCCATATAGCTTAGGCCACATATCTGGACTCCAGCACCTTAAACAGTGACCAGCACATGTGTGTTTAATAAAGAAAGGAATGAATGACTGGTTATACCCTGCCTTTGCATTTAAAAAAAGACACACAGTGAAATGCACCCAGAGGAAAAGGGTAATCAGGATGGAGAGAGGACTGAAAATTAGGTCAAAAGCAGGGTCTTTG